CGAACTGAGAGGGAGCTATACCAAATTTACCGGGAGTACCGGTAAATTTTTTTATTTTTTAAAATTTTAATTACTCCAAATCAAAAGCTTTTTAAAGCTCAATTTTTTTAGAGTTGGGTGTTCTAATACTATGCTTCACAATAGTAATGCAAATTTTAAATTTCATGATCCAATCCTGATGAAATATTCCCAAAACTTTGTATTACCTTTAAGAACATTTTACCAGATAGTTTTAATAATTATTTCACTTCAAATTGTACAATTCATAGCCATAGTACCAGAAATTCAAAACACTTAGATTGCCGTTATATAAATATAGTTTCTCTCAAACAATTTCTTACACTGGTGTAAAATCCTGGAATTCAATACCAGTAGAGATTAAGAAGAGTCCGACACTTTCTAAATTTTAAACGTAAATTTAAACTGTATATTTTACATAAAAATAATTCACAAATTTATAGTGGTACAATATAATTTTTTTGTTTGCCTGTTACTTTGCCAACTTAATTTTGTTTTATCATGTACTATACGTCGCTATTGTTTGTGGGTGTTTTTTGTTTTTTGTTTTTTTTTGTATGTTTTTATATATAAAATATCCAAAATATCTAATATTGTTCTGGGGATTAGCTTCTACAGGCCCCTGGCCTTTGTTTGTCCCCCCACATGTTTTTTATATCTACATGTATTTAGTTGTTCTTTGTTTATGGACTTTAGATTTTGTTCGCTATTTGTTTCTCTTTATATTATTGTTTGTTAATTGTGTATTTTTTAAATGTCTGAACATGTAGGTCATGTATACTTGTTTTTTATGAACCACATGTGGAAATAAAACTTAACTTGAACTTGAAAGTTTGATTGTAATTATTCCATTAACACACGGGTCGCCGACCTTTTAAAGCTCGCGGGCCACAGCTAACGATACACACACACAACTACACGCAATACGTGTACACACCTGCAATTTTGAAAAAATAAACAAGCAAACAACAAAATCAGGCTTACATTTTTAGTGCGATTTCTGGGGCTTGCACTTTTCTGCAATGTTGTTAACATTCATTACCTACTTTGGTGACAAACGAGGCAAGGTGGTTTAACTTTCTCTTCTATGAAGCAATACTTCAGAGACCAATCTGATTTAAAGTTTCTGCCTTGATCAGAACCTTCCTTGTCGGTGCCATGATAGTTGTTATTTCAAACAAAATCAAGGACACAGCAGAGAGAATATCCTTACTTTATTAGTTGTACACTGTACATCTCATTTGACGTGGTGTAAAGAGAAGAAGACGATCCAGTTTACGATTAAGATTCATGAGAAAATTCAACGGCAAAAGAAAAGGGTTGTAATTGATTCAAGACAATTATGGCATTTCTTGATTCACAACATGTATATTTACAAACTGAGATTAACACTGCGAGTGATGTTAATGTTGTTATTGTAATGTAATGAGAGGAAATGAGAGGAAATTTGAGGAGATTTGTATCAACCAAAAAACGAATCAATATGTTGTGAATGATGAAAACAAATTATGGAAATAGAGATAGCTGTGAGTATATGTTTTGCCCTATCTCATCGCTGCTATGCGGGCCACATTTCAGTTATGTGCCATTTTATTATTACTATGTTAATGATCCGGGACCACACCAAAAGGGCTCCACGGGCCGCGGGTTGGCCACCCGTGCATTAACACGTTCGCAGAATATCGTTATTACAAGTTTTTTTTTTATATACATGTATGACCCTTTGATCTTATGACCCTAAAATCTAATCAGTTCAATGGCTCTGCAAGAAACATACGTCCCGAGTTTGATAGTAATCCATTCGTCAGTTCTAATAAGAAGGCGTTCACAAGCTAGTTTTGCATACATAATGAGCCCCATGACCTTTGACCTGTGACCCCAAAATCTAATCAGTTTATTAGCTCTGCCAGATACATACATGGTTTAAGTTTGGCAGGAATCCATTCATCGGTTCTTGAGATAACACGATCACGAGAACGGGACGTATGGATGGACCGACTGACAACCCAAAAACATAATGCCTCCGGCTACTTCGTAGCGGAGGCACAACAATTCACCGCACACCAAATGAATGTAATATTTAAAGGCAAATCCCACCAAGGCGTTGTGGCGTGCCCCTGTAATCCAGCTTAACAATTGAAGTTACAAACTGATTCAGCCGAGGAAGCAGGTTTGAAACTGACTCACGTCTTTCGGATAGTGACGTTAAAGGTCGGTCGTAAATAACCATATCTGATTGATACACGTCTGTAAGAAACCCAATAGACACACACACACACACACCAAATAGACAACTTATCTAAAAGAAAGCAGAAAATCAGAGAAGCAAACTGATGAAAGTTTCAATTAAATCTGACTAAATATAAGAAACTTATGAATTTTTGAAAGTTGTTATCACTATACGTATGGGCACTTCAAATTGGCTAAATCGGTAATGTCAATGTAATGTAGTGCAGGACTACTTTCCTATGTATTCCAACATACACTGTTGGTCATAATGGTGGAATAATTATTTTTACCCCAATTTATGGACTGATTTTCACAATGATTTATTTCTAATAGATCTAAATAATAGTATACATTGTCAGAATCTATTGAATATTAATTTGTGAGTGTTTGTTTTACGTGCCTGCTAAAGCATGAGTGTGCTACTATGCTAATCAACTAGGGGACCTACGTCCTTAAGTCATAACAGACAGTAATGAGGATTAATGCCTCACAAAAGGGCACTAATAGTGAGCTTTTGATTTGGGCACCCGACGTCGGCTACTACGAGGTACTGGAGCGTGGAGAAGTTGCGCAGCTCACGTTTGTTCCCTTCGCGTCAGTGCTTTCGATTTTTCACGTCGGTGCTTTCGTCGGTCATTTTTTAGATCAGGTGATTAAATATTTAATAAATTCACAGTGCACGAAAATCTGATACAAAGAATAACATGACAGAAAAAGAAAGTTAAAATGATGAAACAAAAAAACATGAGAAAAGGTGATAGAAGAATAAACAAAGGATAACATGAGGAGAGACAGAAAGAGAAAGTGATATAATGATAAAGAATTACATTGGAGGAGGTGGTTCAAGGTAGAAACAAAGAATAACATGGAAAGATAGAAAGAGGAATTGATATAATGATACAAACAAAGAATAACATAAGAGAAGGTGATAGAAGAAGGAAGAAACAAAGAATAACATAAGGAAAGACAGAAAGAGGAAGTGATAGAATGGTAAAACAAAGAATAACATAAAAGAAGGTGATAGAAGGATGAAACAAAGAATAACATAAGGAAAGACAGAAAGAGAAAGTGATAGAATGGTAAAACACAGAATAACATAAGAGAATATGTTGGAAGGAAGAAACAAAGAATAGCAAAATGAAAGACAGAAAGAAAAAGTGATAGAATGGTAAAACAAAGAATAACATAAAAGAAGGTGATAGAAGGAAGAAACAAAGAATAAAATAAGGACAGATAGAAAGAGGAAGTGATAGAATGATACAAACAAAGAATAACGTAAGAGAAGGTGATAGAAGGAAGAAACAAAGAATAACATAAGGAAATTTGCAATGATACGTTCACCCTAAATATAACTAGAAATATCGCAATCTGTATTGCTGCGCAATGCGAATGTATCCCCCGGCAGTGGCAGCAAGTTTGTGTCATCCTTATGTTCGAAGGAGGGATGAAGATCCCTTCTCCCCTCCCTGAAACAAAAGGATGATGTAGAGATCGCCACTAGTGGCTCAGACTATTGTCAAGACTAGGAGCAGCATCACCAAAACATTATGTGTGTAGATTAGAGTATAATGCATCTCTGTAGAAAATTTGAAAGAAATCTGTCAAGAAATGTGGCAGTTACATGTAGAGCGCACAAAAGACAGTCACCAAAATATGACCCTATAACAGACGGAACACAGGTGGCAGCATCACCAAACACTAAAAAGGTGTAGATGATTGTACCAAGACACACCTCCATACAACATTTGAAAGAAATCTGTCAAGAAATGTGGCAGTTGGAGCACATTAAAGACATATTTGACCTTTGACCATATCAAAGACGGAACAATGAGGGCAGCTTCACCCAAAGTGTCGATTGGTAACAAGATACATTTCTAATTCTCTATACAAAATTTGAAAGAAATCCATCATGAAATATGATCTGCAGAGCGCACACTAGACACCCACACAAATATGAACTCTTGACCCTATACAAGACGGAAAACTGGGGGCAGCATCACCAAAACCTATATGCTTGTAGATTATACCAAGATACATCTTTGTTGAAAATTTGAACAAAATCCCTCGAAAAATATGGCCTATAGCGCACACACAAGCCATCCAAAAAAATATGGCCTTTTAACCTATAGAAGACGGAACACTGGGGGCAGCATCACCAAAAGTTATAAGGTGTGTAGATTATACCAAGATACACCTCCATACAAAATTTGAAAGAAATCCGTCAAGGAATGATGCAGTAAGAGCGCACACAAGAATAAAATATGGCCTTTTACCCTATAAAAAACTGAACACTAGGGGCAGCATCACCAAAAGTTATGGGTGTGTAGATTATACCACGATACACCTCCATACAAAATTTGAAAGAAATTCGTCAAGGAATGTGGCAGTTAGAGCGCGCACAAGAATAAAATAATATGACGCGGTGGCGTAACGCTGCTGAATCCAAAGTACCCCACCGGCATACTGCCGGGGGATACAATTATTTCAAAGATGTTTTTATACAACCCCTTTATGAATCACATTTTCCCTAACCAATCAGTAAGAAAACGAAAGTTTATAAAATTGGAGAGGAGTTTGCAAGATATGTCACAGTGTTGCCAATTTGTGTTTCAATGATGACAACTTTGAAAATATATAACTTTCTTATTTCTAGTCGGTTTTTGCTCAAACTTTCACTGACCTGTTTCTCTCATTTTCCTGCTTTTATTAAAAGCAACTTAATATCAGGGTGGACTTCCTTTTTTAACACTCACCTTTGCTTTCTCCTGGACTCCCCTCTTCTCTTCTGCTTCAAGTTGTTTCTTTGTCTTCTCTAGCCTCCAGTTGGCTTTTCTCGATTCCTGCTCCTTAGTTGTTCTTTCCTCAATCCACATGTTGACCTTGTACTCAATGACCTTAGCTTTCTCCCCCTTCATCTTCTTCTCTTCTGCAATCTTCAGCTGTTTCTTCCTCTGCAGCATGGCCTGTACTGGATAAAGAGAAAAAAGAGAAAAGAGTGAGTGAGAGTGAGAAAGGGGGAGGAAGGAGAGGGAGAATTGAGAGAGAGGGAGAGTGAGAAAGGGGGAAGGGGAGGAGAGGCTGGAGAGAGAGAGAGAGAGAGAGAGAGTAAGAGAGAGAGGGAGAGTAAGAGAGAGAGGGAGAGTGAGAGAGGGAGAATGGGAGAGGCTGGATAGAGAGAGAGAGAGAGCAAGATAGAGAGGGAGAGTGAGAGAGAAGGGAGAGAGAGGGAGGAGAGTAGGGGAAGGGAGAGAAGAGAGTGAGAGAGAAAGGGGGAAGGAAGAGAAAGGGGAAGGAGAGGGAGAGTGAGAGATGGAAAAGGGGGAGGGGAGGGAGGGGGAGGGGGAGGAGGGGAGAGGAGGAGAAGATTCAGAATATGGTGAAAAGGTAAGGATCACGACACCTCACCAACAGCTAAGGTAAAGACAATACTCTCAATTTGTGGTCATAAAGGGTGCTAGAAATTCTAGCACCAACTTAAATAACATTTTACATCAAATACCACACTTTAAACAAAATGAAGTTAGCAAAACTTTAAACAATATGCGGCAAACGCTGGTAGCCCTCACCCAAAATCAACCAAATCTCCAAAATTTGCCACTTTCCTGAGCCGCGCCCCTGCAGCTTAAGTACATGTAGGGCTAGACGTAAAGGATAATATCCAGGTGCTTTTTTTTTCACTAGCCCCAAGGGATCATTCGCTTGAAAATACCCTTCACACATGAATCAGCAAATTAGGGAGGCGTGAGCTCTGCTCAGTCCAAACCATGGTTACATTGTGTAACATCTGCTCGTATAGTGTGTGCGAACAGCTATCCATACTTTCATCGCGGAGACAACGTGGCTCAATCTGCAAGTTACGCATTTGCGTACGCTTGCATATCACACGATACAGCTGTTTGGCTAAATTTAGCAAAACAACATAACTCTGCATGTACGTCTTTTTCGTCGAAAACTGCTATGAATATTGCAGCGTTTCGGAGGGGCTGTATCTTTTGATAGAAACATCAGTGAGACTTGAAATTTGAAATGTATCATTCTGATTACATTTTTAATTCAAATATCAAACAAAAATGGTAATAAACGATCCTAAATTGAAAAGTGAAAAATCGTTCAGACACCCTAACTTTACGATCGCTACACGATGGGGTTGACCTCTAACTGCCACTTCCGTAATTGTGCTGCTTCCGTATGATGCGCTGTATGAGTGTTATTCAGCGCATTATACGGCAGCAGCACATTACAAAGTGCCAGTCAGAGATCAACACCATTGTGTAGGGATCGTAAAGTCACACGCTCCAGTGAAAAGGGAGTTAAGCCGTATCGTTCTGGTAAGAAATTTGCAAGTATTTCGTTATTTTTACCTCCGATTTTTAAATTCAGGAGGTAATTAGGACTAGGTCTAAAAGTCCAACAAAATTCATCAAGGCCACTGTCCAATATTGGTCGGGTGCGGGAAAGTGTGATTTGGGACACATTTTAGGTGTTGTTCATATGTCTCTCCGTGAGACCCTACGGGAGCCGTTTAAGGCTATCTGGAATAGACTAGGCTAGCCCACTCCAGCAAAGCATAGAGAGTCAATAACTCATGACATCATGATAATGGCCTCCAAACTCAAAATTTCAATTTGCATATTATGACGTTAGCATATTTTTGGAAAATTGATTGTATCTCTGTACATATTGATCGATTTTCATGGCGTAATTTTGAATTCAGGAGGTAATTAGGACTAGGTCTAAAAGTCCAACAAAATTCATCAAGGCCACTGTCCAATATTGGTCGGGTGCGGGAAAGTGTGATTTGGGACACAATTTAGGTGTTGTTTATATGTCTCTCTGTGAGACCCTATGGGAGCTGTTAAGGCTATCTGGAATAGACCAGGCTAGCCCACTCCAGCAAAGCATAGAGAGTCAATGCTAATGCGTAATGACCTCTAGCACTGCATGCTTGCTGTGAGGCTGGTATTATTAGGTGATACGTACGAAGTCTACGTATCACCTTTTGATTTCGTCAAGATTTTCTTTTTTCTTTTTTTAATTTTTATTATTCTTCCTCGAATTTGTTCGCAGGATATCTCAAGACTGAATAAAGCCATTGTCATGAAACTTTCAATGATGACATATCTTAGTCTAACATAGAACTGTGTGACTTTTCAAAGACTAAAAAACATGGTGACATTATCCAGGCGCCATTTTGTGAAAATCAACTTATGATCATATCTTCATAACTGAAAAGTATTTCTCATTCATTATTATCACGATTAAGATCAATATCCGTCCGGTCAATTTCAGGTCAATAAACATGCGCAAATGCGCAAAAACTTAAAAATGCTCTAAATCATCCCCAAATTTTGTTTGTATACGTTTCAGGTCATATGGAGCATTTGACAAAAAATCACACTCACGTGCATGCTCACGTGCATGCTCGCGTTTTTTGCGCGTACTAGCATTTTGCAACATAGAATCGCCAAATTTTCTCTATCATCATACAGCGTGTTTCCACACAAAAAAAAGTAGAACCCGGATTATCTTTTCCGGATTGAAATACCGTGTCGCGGCGACACGGTATTAAACTAATCTGTTTCCACAGAGCGCAGCATTCCGATTCGCCCCGATTCCGTGTTCCAAGTCAGGAAAATGCCGTGTCAATCGGAAGTCAAGATTCAACCTTTGACCTCGATCGTGGATTCAGATCTACACAAGATTCCACGCTATTCTATTGTGACGTACATTTTTCATTGTTACGTACAGCGCGTATATAAACATATTATTGTATACGCGCGTATTTCAGAGTATTTTTCAACCAATCACGCTGCAGTGGTGATTGGGGCTTCGCGCACTCTGATGCTCCGCCAGACACGGTTTGTCGCTGTGTGTTTCCACAGAGATTTTACAGGGAGTTCGTTGGGGTCGACACGTCAAGATCCACCTCCCAGAGGTGGATCTGATAATCCGCATCTCGGTCAACTCGACCCGCTTGTGTTTCCACAGGAAAACTGACCCGGTATGACACGGTATGACACGGAAAATACCGTGTCGATGTTTTCTGTGGAAACACGCTGATATTTGGCACATTTTTCCAAGCATTTTGATAACTTGTTCATCTTTTAATAACGCAATGAGCGTCCGTCAAAGTTGACAGCGCGCGCGGACCTGCGTTATCTTTATCCACAATACATGAGCAAAAACATGCCTATACAAAATTCTTTGCAACTCTTCAGAATAGATAGGAACTCCCAATATTTTTTCATATTTAGATAGATTATGAGTCGGAAATATGATTTCATGTCTCTTTTGAGTTTTGACCCTCAATTAACTCATGACGTCATCATAATGGCCTCCAGACTCAAAATTTCAATTTGCATATTATGACGTCAGCATATTTTTGGAAAATTGATTGCATCTCTGTACATATTGATCGATTTTCTTTGAAATTTTGATATGTTCTAGCTGAAACAATTCTCTACAAATATATTGCCACAATTTTTCATTTTTACAAAGGCATCATGGCGTATTTTTGCGATTAAAGGAGGCATGTCAATTTTTCACATTTTGCGTGTATTCTCTACGGGACATGACTTTTTCTCAAAACTGGATTCTACACTCCTGTCTTTCGCAAGCAAAATATCCGTTGTTTTAGCTTAGTTTTCGCTGAGCGTCGAATATGTTGTAGCTGAGACAATAAGCTAACACACGTGTGCCTTTTATTTTTCGATCAGATGCTGGGATTATGCTCATATTTCACTTGCAAAGTAGGATTTGAGAATTCTATTTTTCCGTTTACGTGTAATCGCTATGGGAAATGTTTGGTATATCGGTAACGCACTTGACTTCCATCCTCGAGATCCATGTCTCCAACGATATTTGTCTTCACTTTTTTTTTTTTTGACCTTTCACTGTACCATTTCCTTTGATTATTAAAACACGTAGAATCGCAAATAATGTAATAAACAACCCTATTTACTTTATTATTACCTCATTTTCGCTTAATCCATTACTTTTTGCGTTTAATCCCTATAGGAGATGACTTTTTCTCAAATCTGGATTCTAAATTCCTGTGTTTTGAGCAAAATCGCCAATATTTCTGCTTGGATTTTGTTGATTTTTGTGGTATGTTGTAGCTGAGACAAGTTTCCACAAGATTTATGTAGACTATATAACATTATCATGACATTATCATAGTCAAAAATTCAATCATAGGTGACATGTCAATTATCATATATAACAATCCTCAATCGAATACCTGAAGGGGGCGCTATACCACTTTTAATCATCTGGAAGGCATTGTTCTCAATTGCATCTCTCTCTCCCTCTTGCTCTTTTTCCTTCTCCTCTCATGTTCTGCCCCTCTCCTTTTTTGGTCTGTCTCTGCATCTATCTATCTCTCTTCTGTTTCACCCTCTCCCACTCTCTCTCTCACTCTCTCTCTCTCTCTCTCTCTCTCTCTCTCTCTTGCCTTGCCTCCCTCTTATTCTCTTGGTCTGTCTCCCTCTGCCCTACAGTTGAAACTTGACTCATGGATAGACCATAATGGGAGTAGTAAACGAAAGATAAAATCGTGAAAATGCGTTTTTCATTATGTTACACATGAGCATACGTATCACCTAATTCGTCAAAGTGACGAATTAAAGTCTAGTTATACCTAGATCTATACACAAATATACACACCACACATTATTACAAAGACTGTACACAGTCATGTTGATGCAGCTGTAAGCAAAGTTTGACACTAGTAGGGTGTCTGATCGCGCACCTGGTTTTGTGTGCTAAAACCCTTCCCATAGACAACGCACACATCCCTATAGAGTCTATGAGTTTTAAAAAAGTTTTTAAAAATAAATTTAGATTCAAACCTTAATCTGTTGCGATCCTGAAGATGATACTGAATAAATGAGGTGTCATATGAAAGGGCAGATTAATTTCTATATTTCCAAAGGGGGGTCACTTCAAATTTCTAAAAAATATATTGGTCAAAACAGCGATTTAAATGCGTTTCCATGGCAACTTGGGAGAATTCCAACTTTTGAGAATCGACCCCCCCCCCCCCCCCCCCGAGGGATAATTACTTCAAGTCGTAAGGAATATGTTGATGTACTTTATTTCTCGCTAGCCCCAAGGGATCACATAGGATTTAAGTTTGAAAATACCCTTCCGCCACTTTCTGCATATAGCCTAATGCATTAGAATGCAGCTGTTGAGCAAAAAATGATAACTCGGCATGAACCACTGAAGTAGACTTGGGCATCTACTTAGACACCATAACCAGACATGTAATACTCACTGGAATGTATCAGGCTAGACATCCTTAACTTCCAGTATAGGTACGTCTGTTCGGTTGAGGTGTCGGTTGCATGAGAGAAAGAGTTCAGGTTGACTCTCTTCCACGGAAGCTTCCAATAGGAATAGCACCCTCTACTGATGAGGGTGGCTATTGTAGACTGCTATGCTCTGCCACACTCGTAGTCTGCTAATACAGTCTGCTTCGTGCTTGTAGTCTATATCATAAACTTCTATATTCCCCCCCCCCCCCCCTGTTTTAAAGAACTCATCCCAGGGAGAACCTAACCCCTCAAAATAAACTCGGGTGCCACAATCAGTGACTCAAACCCGCTAAGACCGGCTTTTGTAACAGCCAGGTCATGTCACAACATACAAAATTTATACAAAACGATGAATGTCGCCCCCCGGAAAAAAAACTTTTTCCCCTTCCTTTCCTTTAACAAAACCCTCCTCCCTTTGCCAACTACAAAGGGCAACCCCATTATACATCCCATAATAAAAACTTCACGCCCTCAAAGGGCAATTTCATTATAAACACAATATAATAGAAAAAAAATAGCAGGGAGGACCTCATCCATCCCTAACTTGTCAGACTTTACTGCGTCTGCTCCTCGGTCAGGTACTTCTCGTCCGACCTTCCTCAGACCCGCGACAGGGTCGGTGAAATCCCTCGTGCCCCACCTAGAGCCTTGGCAAGGTTCTCCAGGTTTTTCTCCAAGCCGGATATCCAAACTGGTAGACAAACCAGATATCTGGCTATCCAATCTTTTCACCAAACTAAACATCCGGTTATCAAAGATCTTCGCTAAACCAGATATTCGGTTATCCGATCGTCCCTCCAACTCTGACATCCGGGTCTCAAGTCTGGAAGGGGAAGGGGTGGCAGGAGTGCCCCGCGCCAGTTGCAAAGGCAATGTCCACCCTTCGCACCTCGGGCCCTCTGGTCTCGCCCGATTCGGTCGCCATCACTTTGGCCTGCCGGGAACAGCCGTACATGACCTTATGCGCGGAAAAAGTCCGGGCCGGCCCTAGTAGGGAATCTTCTCCACGAATTCCTGCGGGAGCACCCGCCCTAGACTTCTTCCTTCGGATTCTCCCGATCCTCTCCCCCGGAGCGTGCTACTCCAAAAATCGCCGTTTGGAATATTGCCCTAAATGGCATTCTGGGGGACTCTCCCCCATAATCCAAACGCGATCGGAAGTCAAACCAGCCTTGCAGAATGCCTACAGCCGCAAACATAAGAGAGGACTCCAACAGCTCAGGAGTAATCCCCCCATGCTTTTCCCGGAGTTCTAAAATACGCCCCGCTAGAACAGGGCTTACCCCAGGCATGGCCAGCAACTCCTCAAATGTACAACTATTAATAGTGACCTTCTCCATATTCCCACAGTGCTAGGTTAAATCCTTCCAACAATAGGACAAAACCTACAACAATAAAATAAATCCCAGAATATTAATTGATCTATTCAGCAATTATAAACACCCTACAACCGCAGGTGAATAATTGAACAGAACAATATACTAGGATATATTAGCACAATTGCAATCACAAGCACAATTGCAATCACAAGCACAAACACAAAAAACAAAGACCTAACCCTGTAATCGGCCGCCTATACCGATCCGATCAATTTTCAAGTTTTTGGCTATCAAATGCTCAAAAAATTCATGGCTGGGATTATTTTGTCATTTGGAGTTGTTGTAGGACCATGTAGTGCCTTTTCATGACTTTGGAATTAATAATATTGGTCTAAGAGCAGAGGCAAAACATGCGGGCCGCCATCTTGGATTATAATGCATATACCTACATTATAATCAAAGATCCAATCGCATGTTTTGCCTCTGCTCTTAGACCAACATTATTAAATTCAAAGTCATGAAAAGGCACTAAATATCAACAAACATGGTCTACAACAACTCTAAATGACAAAATCATCCCAGCCATAAATTTCTTTTAAGCATTTGATAGCCAAAAACTTGAAAATTTTTGTCATTAAAAAAAAAAAAAAAAAAAAAAAAAAAAAAAATTGACCGATTTTTTTTGTCGATCTTCCGATCCGATACCGATCAAAGGTGCGAGGGTGTCGCTCCGATCTTCCGGTCCGATCAGAGCCCCAACTTACAGGGTTACAAAGACCTCTAGATCAATTCACCGAACCGATATAAAATATCGAAAAGGAGCCTACTAAACTCAAGAATGAGCTATTGCTCGCCACTGGCGAGGTTCGATGAATAAAAGAAGGAGCTACACCCCTCCTTGGGCCCTAACCAACACACCAGAGACAGGATAGGATATATCCACCCCAGCACTGACTGTAATAAACCCAACGTCCTACTAAATTTAATCCCTAATATTATTAATCTCTAAGTCGATACTTATTCTTATATTCTAAAACTGTCCTAAAATATATAAGAAATAACAAATGCTATAATTGTCTATATAAGTAATACGCTAAGGCTCCGCGGGGGGCGCGACGTCTCGGGGAGCCTTTGTATTCTATTGTTTTTTAATGAGATCGCCGACCCAAGTTGGTGCGGCTATCTCCTCCTGAACCCTGCCCTCGGGGTGCCCGTGCCCGGTGCCATCGTCCACGGGGGAGTCTACTCTGTGGAATTGGCTATACTCCGCCCGAGGTCCTCCTCCGTGTCGACGTCCAGGGCGAAAACAGACGCGACATGCATAATGCAGGATATGCGTGACGACAGAGATACCTCATGGATATTCAACATTACATCGGTAGAAACACGACCGATGACTATCCACTCACATTAAGTTGCGTATTAAATGCACGATATACAGGGTCGGGATTACCCGAGTAAAGCATCTTTCTATAGGATATCCTTTGTAGTAGCTGCACAAGCAACAGAGATACACACGAAGCTTCCCGTCCACGTCCAAACTTAGAGACCTATTTCCATCATTATTGCCGCGATTTTTATATAGTTTTCGTGAATGGAGGTATGAAATCAAAGCTTATTTTGTGATTATGACGGTTAATGTATACTACATTTTGATTATCATTTTCTAAAGGAAAGTTTTCACAAGAAAACCATTGGACTGACAGTTCTGTCGCAAGCTGCCTTCAGTCTTCACACATACAGAACACACAGTGCAGTGTAACACCGGCACCACACACCGCAGGCGTCCTAGGCCTGCGGCGTCGGTGTTCGAGCTGTCTGGAGTTACGCTGGAGTGTGTGTGAGTTCAGCTGAGCTGAGCTCGAGTCGAAGAGATTCGACACTTTGAATTGTTATCTGTTGGTTTGCATCATTATTGCCGCGATTTCAATATAGTTTCGTGAATAGATTTACGAAACCTGAGCTTAGAATTAGTAAAAGTACTACTAATGTCTACGTTTTTAAACGACTGTCTGATTTTCTTGTGAAAATTTTACTTTGAAAAATGATTATCGAAATTCATGGTCAGAAATAATCACAATCTAGGGTCTATTAATTATGTTACAGTTCTTGCATCAAATCAATGCATGAAAACTTAGTTATTGAACTAGAAAAATGTTTTTTTTTTTTAAATAGGCAATTAGACCTATGAAGTATTAAGCCTGAAACCTTCGCCTACTAAACAAATCTCAACAAAGTGTAGGCTTATCCTTTTATGAATTAATGAAAAAGTAGCCCCAGAAAAAAGAGCCCCCGAAAGTTGAAAAAGTTGCCCCCGAAAATTTCCCAAAAATTTGAAATGGAGCCCCCGAAATGAAAAAACTTAGTTTTTTGCCTGCGCCCCCCCCCCCCCTCTAGAATCCCGCGGATTTCCGCGGGTCCTGAGTTGAGTGTATATATAATATAGGCGTGAGGTCCACGGGTTTCAAGGGCCATAAACCCCCAAAAGCTCGGGGGTTACGTTCTTCAAAGTTGGGGGGGGGGGGAGAGATCAGATCACGGCGAGTTGAGTGTATATACAATATAGGCGTGGGGTCCACGGGTTTCAAGGGGCCATAAACCCCCGAAAGCTTGGGGGGTTTAGGCGTTTAATTAGGGTCAGATGAGCATATTTTTAATACTTTATTTGTGACACTTGCGGGTCACTAATTGGCGTGGGGTCAATACGTAGTGTTGCGTACCAACTACGCTGGCCTACATTACTATATGCTGAGGGACGGAAAGAGGTACGCAAGATGAACGAAAACAACAATTCAACATGTTTAATTTTTTTCGGGTAGTTTCGGCGTAGAAACTTGACGCAGAAAGTACGCCTTTTTACGCAACACTACGCTACTTGACTACGCAACAGTACGCTACCCTACGCCAGATCGTCAAAGCAGTAAAAGCTTTCTACACAGTAAGCAACCATAAGCAAACCTGTACGCCAGCCTACGCATAACCTACGCAGGGACTATTTTCCCATTAATACGCAGCCTAATTTCTGCGTAGTCGGTACACCACACTACGGAACTCTACGCAGTTCCAGTGGCTTATAGAATAACTACAGGTACAGTTGGATCGTTTTTTTTTTTTTTTATATAAGGCCAAATTAAAAAAAAAACATGTTTAGCGTCCTGTTTTTTCGAAAAATGGGAAGGAGGAGGCCCTTTTTTTTTTTTTTTTTCTTTCAAAATTCCAACCACAGCCAGTTCAGTAATAAAAATATAAATAACCTAACCTAGATGTCTAGGTTCTATTTAATTCGCGAAAGGGAATTATAAATACAACAACTCCCTCCACCAACTAAACAAACAGTCCAAAAAATCTAAAGTATTTGCCCTAAACTAACCTAAAGATTGCTAAGAACTATTTCATTATTGGAAATTGTTTACACACTACAATTTGATTAAGTTATATATAATATTGAATAGAATTAACTTAACCAAGTCTGCGAAGAAGACTAGAATCCCCCCTCCACAGTAGGCGTTGTGGCGTGCGCCTGTAATCCAGCTAAAAAAGTGGAAGTTACAAACTGATTCAGCCGAGGATGCAGGTTCGAAACTGAGTCACGTCTTTCGGATGGTGACGTTTAAAGGTCGGTCCCAGACGTAAATAATCATATCTGATTGATACACGTCTGTAAAAACCCAATACACA